TTATGAATTATGGTTTTTAGAATGTAAATACAAGCGAACGATTATGTTACAGTAAGTATTCTGCGATTGACAAAGTGAACATGTCTTTGTGTTACTGATATTTAGAATATGTGTTTAAGAAAAACACACAGAGAGAGATTATTGAGATATAGTTATGATTAATTTTAAGGGAGATAAAAAATATAAAGAATAAAAATTTTGTTTTAAAAAATTAAATGTGTAACGAAAAGAGAAAAAAATGATAACAATAATTTACAGTAATAACGAACGCCTTGCCTTTTTCTACTCTTAAATTTACTTGCACTTATAGATACTCTTTTTTTTAGTTTCAGATGATTTTCTTAGTATTGAGCATTAAAATTTTAGTTTTCAGCTTATTAATTAGTTAAATAATTAATTAAATGTTTATTTTAAAATCTTTGAATTTAAGAATAATAGTAATGTCTAGCTTTGTTTTAAATTAAATATTTTCCATATAGTTTCCTGAGTCAGAAAATCACATTTCTGTTCTAACCTATTACCAGTTTGATGCTCTTGCTTAATGTCATAGATTGTAACTTGTGGCGCCATCTCTTCTAACTACGGGGAAACAATTGATGGGGCAGTAAAATGATAATATGTTTTTATTATGTTAATATGTTATGTACAAATATCTTAATCATGAAAACAAGCTGTAATTGACGATCTGTATAAGATATACATTAATTTAATTTTTTTCTGAACTTATCAATGAAAACTCGAACTCGAAAATGCAGATTATTGTTTTTTAAAATTTTCATCAACTTGTTGCCCAAAGTGATATATTTTTTTAATTTGACATTGCCAAAACATGAATATTTTCGTCATTTAAAATGCTTTTGTAATTACAAAGTGTATGTTTACTATTAACGATAGCGAAAGTAAAGGCCGGGTGATGGAAGTGGATATATGTATATCGAAACAGACGTCACGAAAAAATTAAAAATTTATTTTGAATTCATTTTACAATGCGTTTTGGAAGAAAGAGTCCTTTTTTCTATCCGTATGTACAAATGTCACGCAAAGACATCTTACAAATGAATTCGACAGCGGTCAATATAGATATATTCGTTGAAGTATGGTACCTGAAATTTTTCGCGATTACAATACTTCCTTTACTTCGTACAAAGAAATTTAAAAAAAAAAAAAAAAAAAAAAAAAAAAAAAATTCTTAATAATAGTTATATTAATTTTATAGTAATTAATTTTTTCACAGTTATCTAATTAATTATAATAATTATGTTATAATAAATATATGCCAAATTTCTCTTTGATTTTGCTCTGAAACTATATGCATTATTAAATATCTCTGGATTTGGGGAGGGGGGGGTAATTATAAAAAAAAAAAAAAAAAAAGAGAAAAAATTCTTGTATAAAATATCACTTTGAAATCTGACCAGGAAATTTGAAATATATTTTCTCAGCTGTAGAATTATATGGCCTTCTTATTTTTTATAATAAGCTGATAATAAAAGATATTACTCTAAAAATATTATGATCCTGTTTATACAACAGGTCAACATTGGCCCAAATGATTAAATACGCTGTTTGGGTTTAATACTTGCTATCAGATAAATTACATGATACGTACAGGACAATTTCTCAGGTTTTTTCACATGAAAAATTAATGCGAACCGTTTTTTATGCCGAAATGTTTTTCACAAAGTACTCCTCTCTTTTTGTGACCTTTACCTCTCTCTTACCTCTCTTCTTTGACACTACATCTACTTATCGTGGATCCAATGTAGCGTGGAATTGTGGATCCACGTATTGTGGCAGTTGTATCCAATGTATTGAGTCTCGTTACAAAGGGATTAGTGCCCTTAAAATAATGTTTACAATTTTAAATTTAGATTCTTATGTTTACACTTAATGGTGCTTAACTTAATTATTTTGCTAATTTAATTTTTCTTTCACTTTCCCCCTCCTTTCCTGTAAAGTGCCAAACCTGACTGAGTCTGGCATTTCGAAAACTTGTAACTATAGCAAAAATTTTATGTAATTGCAAAAAAAAAAAAAAAAAAAAAAAAAAAAAAAAAATAGTTTTGTAAAAAGAAAATGCATGATATTAGAAAAGCTGTGCCTGAAACTCCAGAAATGTTTGTTTGAAATTATTTTGCTTATCTATATTCAATTATTTTGCTTACCTATATTCAATTATTTTGCTTATCTATATTCATGATGCATGTTCTGGAAATACGGAGAAGAGGGGGGGGGCTTTCTCTTTTGGGTGTCATATTCGAGGAAAAAAAAAAGAATGTGGGACGACTTTTGGCTATTGGAAAAAAAGGGTCTGACTGCGAGACTAGAAAATATAATGTTTTTTACCCTCTAAAAAGTTGAAGAAAGTGGGCTAACGTTTGGGGATTCCAGCTTGTGACCATGGAAAAAGGGGGCTGGTAGAGAAGCTAGAGCTGTCCCTTTTTATTTATTTATTTATTGTGTAAGGGATACATTTGAAGTTCTTAGGTTATTCTCATCGCCAATATATTATTTAGAAGACTTTTACACAGGCAGGTTTCTTACAAGCGCAGTACTGTATATATTGTACCTACGAATGGATGTTCTTGCGTGTAGAATATGTTTGTAATGTATGTTAACTGGATCCCAAATGATCGTTTTTTATCTGAACATTTATCGATCTTAAATTTCTAGCCCACGTAGTTTCTGTACATGTAGTATTTTGTTCAATGTAGAGTGTATATGTGTCAGCAGTTGTAGAGACATTAGGGACTTTTTTGAAAGCAGGAGACGTGGAAAAATGAGCAATGCCCTCGCTGGCACTCGAACCAGGGACCTCTCGAATACGCGTCGAACGTGCTGACCACTACACCACGAAGGCATACTAAGAAGGCTGGAGAAATAAATACCTTATATACGCTCCCTTTTAAAGGGCGACTGGGGTTTTAAGGGACCCAATCACCAAATGCTGGTGGTGAAGAATCATCATTCATCACCTTTTTAGTTCGGGCGCCACTGTAGAGACATTGGGAATTTTGTTGAAAGGAGTTTGAGAAGACGTGAAAATGAGCAATGGCCTCGCCGGGACTTGAACCACGGACCTCTCGAATACGCGTCGAGGGTGCTGACCACTGCACCACGAAGGCATACTAAGAAGGCCTTAAACAGTCAAAGATTAAAGAGAAAGTCTAAGATAGGTTTGTAGAAAAAAGCATTACGAGAGTAAAGCTAATTAAGCTGTTGGTTCTTTGCTAAGATAGCTTAATAAGATGCACATAAAGACTTAATACCTTAATATTTTACTGAACTACAAATAATACTACCATATTAACACCAGATCCATCATTTTCCAACTCTAAAACTAATTTTCTCTTAAAACATTGTATTCCAAAAGGAAATCGAGAATAAGAACTCTTAACACAAAAATATAATACAATTAATTATATGTAAAGTGAAAATTTATAATTTTAATATATTTTTGAGTTATTTCAAATTAATTATTTACATTTTTATGGCGTTACATTTATGCACCTTATGCCGTTACAAAAAAAAAAAAAAAAAATTCGGAAGGACCTGCAAGATGAGAGTACGAGGGTAAATAAACAATGTAACGAAACGGGAAATAAAATGAACAAATCTCCGGAAGACATATATGGCAAAAAAATTTCACTTTTATAAACAAGCAAAGAGCAGATGATAATGTAATAGACTTTGTATTTATCGTACGAGTTATTGGGGGAACATTCATTAGTTGAAAATGCAGATATAGAGAAAGTGCACGAAAGAGAAGAATCAACTTCAAATTTAATCGTATTTAATATGCACGAAATTTATTACCTAGCTTTTTACAATTGTTTTCGAAAAAAAATAATTAGTGGTAGCAAATTATGTAACAGTTCATAGAAACATTTTCTGTAAAATATATTTTTTAAAGGGGACCCCGTTGGGGATTCCACATATCCCAACTTGGGGGGGGGATTGAAATTATTTAAGACGATCCTAGCTGAGTTGTTAATCAAAGTTTCATTAACTTCACACAAAACATAAAATGAATAAAAATAAATAAATGAAAAAGAATCTTAAAAGTTTCAGATTTTAAATTACGTCTAAAGGGGCGTTCTTTTTGCGTTTTGTGTGTTAAATTTATTTATGAAATATCATGTTCTTCGCACTTAAACCATAAAATTCATTTCAACATCAATATCGCAAAAAATTTTTAAATCAGCATGTCTTTAGAGTTTCCGTTACACAGTTTCGCGCGCTAGAGATAAAAGTGTTTTTATGTACAACGTTGCCATGGCTCGCTTTGAAATCCTTGATTTTGTTAATCAAAAATTCTTTAAAGTTTTACAAAATATGAAATCGATAATAAAACAAATTCTAAATTTCAAATTCGTGCTTCCAAGATATCCATATTCGCAGAAGGATTACTTTACTCAAAATTCGATAGCTTTAGGTACCGTTATTTTATCATAATGCGAGAAACAAAATTTATGCAGATTCTTCATTATTTAATTTCTTTAAATAGAATACAGGGTGATAATATTTGATGGCAACAATTTGAAAAGTGAAATAACGCTTGTAAAGAATCAACGCAAAATGCCAAAAGGAAAGTAGTAGTCCTTCCGGGCAAATTGCTCTTTTGGACTAAAAATTCACCCTCGAGGTGCACATGTTAGAGTGGAGAGTTCAAACTCTGATAACTTCAGGTGCCACAGTTTTTCAGTAATGCGAGGAACTTACACACATACATAAATACATACATACATACATACATATAGATTCCTTATTATTTAATATAGGAAATAATAAGAGATTCTCGGTTTAGTTTTTGAATAATTTTCTGATCGATTCCCGACCGTAAATCAAAATGAGTTCTTTTAAAATAACTTTTGTGTACAAGATAAAAATTCCAAGATAAAGTTCATTTCAAATACCAAAGAAACCCAAATAGAAATATTTTTCATACGGTTTCTGATCACTAAAGAATAAGATGAGGAAGCTAAACTAAAATCACTCACCTAAAACAGAAGTAGAATTTTATTCTTTCTCTAAAATCCTAAATGGTCCTAAATGGTCTGTCAAAGGCGTTTCCCCATGAGTATCTACGATCGAATGTGGCAGTTATAAGGTTTCGCCCAATCCAATTGACTCGCTCCGTAATTGGATGAAGGACCCTCACTGAAAAGTCCGTTCAATCTTAAGCTCTTGATCATATCTATGCATCCGTGACTGTAACTGGGGGACATCGTTTAGGAAATGTTGCTGGCAGAGAAACCGTGTGCTTCTTTGCAAAACAAACTAAAATATTTTATATATAATAAATACTAAAAATCTGAGATTTTTTGAATAGACCAACTGTGCTTTCACGTTCAAATCTCTACAGCAATGTTTCTGAAATGACAAAAATCTTTACAGGCATCCAATATAAGAATAAACAAAACTTTGTGGAAGTGACAGATTCAATTTGAGAAAACACTGTGGAAAAAGCAGTATCCAGAATTCTAGTTTCTAGTAATCTAGAGTTCTAGTAACATTTTTCACGAAATATATTAAAAATTTAAAGAAACATACTGTTGATTTATTATACGTAAAATGCGAATATAAATTTTGCGGAGGAAAAAAGTTTCATGTTTTAAAAATTCTTAAAAAGCAGCGATTAAAGATAATTGCAGAATATTTTTCTTTTAACCATAATATCTCTTCGCGTTAAATTTGTGCGAATTCAAGTGACACATTCTTTTTACAAATGTAAATTTAATTCACTTTCATAGAAAAATTATATTAATTAAAATCATAAGAAGTTGACAGACTGTTTAAGATTTTAGAAAATAATAATGAGCAAAATATGCCTCAGAATAATTCTCTAATGAAATGCGGCGATTTAAAAAAATGGCAGCGAAATGTAAGATATTTGTCTTTCAAATTTAATCAACAAACTCGACGGTTTAAAAGAAATGTGTCGCAACAGCTTGAAAAAAAGCATTTTGATCTCCCACGCACCAGTGTATTGCCATTCAGAAAAAACTGAGATATTTAATTTTTATTCCAAAGGGGCTTTGTCCCTGAAGGACTATTGTTCTCGTTTTGCGATTTTGCGTTGATTCACTAGAAATATCCATATCACTTTTCAAACTGTTGCCACTCAATTTTAGAGTCCTGCATTATATTTGAAGAAATTAAATAATGAAAAATCTGCATAAATGTATGTATATTTTTCGCATTGTGATAAAACAACGGTACACAGAGCCATCGAATTTTGAATGACGTAATCCTACTGAGAATGTGAGTATGTGGAAGCACAAAATTGGAGTTTGGAATTTGTTTTATTATCGATTTCCTATTTTTAACACTTTAACGGACTTTTGATTAAATAACTCAAGGGTTTCAAAGCGAGCCATGGCAGCGTTGTACAGAAAAACATGTTTGTCTCCAGCGCGCGAGACTGTGTATCGGAAATTCTAAAGACATGCTCAATTAAAAGCTATTTTGCGATATTGCTCTTGAACTGAATTTTATGGTTTAAGTGCAAAGAGCATGATGTCGAATAAATAAAAGTAACAGACAAGCTGTTAAAAAAACGCCCTGATTTAAAATCTAAAACCTTTCATTTTTTTTTTAAATTTAATTTGTCTGTTATAGTTTAACGAATTAAGTAATTTAAAAGAAATAAGGTGAGCAGTTCATATCTATCATTACCGTATTTCCTTACGTACTTCCCCCCTTCCCGCTCGTATTTCTTCTTTTTTTCCTCATATGATTTTAAAATAACAAATTGCATGAGCATAATGATAACGCTCTTAGCGTTTGAAATCTTTTAGTTAAATTTTGCGAAAAGGCTTTTGGCATACCAATTTTAATAAAATTATAGCTTGAAGAATGTTACACACTAGTAAATAACAAAAAATATCATTGAATGGCATATAGAAAAGTCAGCCTCGAACTATTTTCAGTTATTTATTAACTCACCCCTCAAGTCAAACTAAAAATGATATCAAACGTATAAAATTTTAAAATAAAATACCTTTATCAATTTTCGTCCTCTGAATGTCAAACTTCCGTAGTTGACCCTTTATATTGAATATAAAATTTTCGTACAGTTAAATACAGTGGCGGGAGAACAGCATAAAAAAATTACCTTTTGTGGGGGGGGGGGGGCTTTGAAATTCCCAAAACATGAATGTTTGAATTATTTAAACTTTTTTGTGAATGGAAGTTTATGCCTAAAAACAGCGGTTAAGGAAAAAACAGACGACTAAAAACTTCTGTGGACATGGTGTATACTTTTTCAATATAGAAATTTATCCAATCCAGGCAAACATGCTAGCTGTATAAGGGTTTTCGATATTTTTCCTATGTAATGTAGAAATGAAATATGGAGGCAGGAGTGAAGAAAAATGAGCAAAGCCGTCGCCGGGAATCGAACTATGGGCCTGTGGAATACGCGCCCAGCGTGCTGACCACTACACCACGAAGGCATGCTAGGAAGGCTGGAGAAATACCTTATATACTAACCCTTTTAAAGAGCGACAGAGGTTTTTAGGGGACCTTGTCGCCAAATCTTTGGGGGTGAAGAATCATCATCTACCACCCTTTTAATTCGGCGCCACTGTAGAGACATTAGCTATTTTGGAGGCAGGAATGATGAAAGATGAGCAACGCCCTTGCCGGAAATTGAACCGCAGACCTCTTAAATACGCGTCCAGCGTGCAGACCACTACACCACAAAGGAACGCTAAGAATTCGGAAGAAATACCTTATATACTCCCCATTTTAAGGGTCAACTGGGGTTTAGGGGACCCAATCGCCAAATCCTGGGTGTGGAGAATCATAATCCACCACCCTTTTAGTTCGACGCTACTGTAGAGACATTAGCTATTTTGGAGGCAGGAGTGATGAAAAATGAGCAACGTCCTCGCTGGGAATGGAACCGCGGACCTCTTGAATACGCGCCTAGCGTGCAGACCAGTGCACCACGAAGGTAAGCTAAGAATTCGGGAGAAATACCCAATTTCCCTCAGAAAGTCTTCTGCGAAGGCACCCCTTCCCTTAGGCAGGTACCCTAGTGTTCTTTGCCATAATTTTAAAAAAAAAATCAAGCCAGTCCTTAGAAAGTCCTCCACGGAGACATCCCTTCCATTAGATGGATAACTTAATGTGCTTGCGATGTTAACTAGCCTCAGAATATGATTCCTAATTTTGTCCTCCAAGCAATTAAATCAAAACTGAATGTAGAAATCAGATCACATATGAATCCTTATAATGAATACATTTCTATCAATTCTGAACATTTCTTGAAGTAATTAAGTGCAAATAACTACTCTAAATAGGTAAAGGAAAATTAATAATGTCGCAAAAGGAAAGAAAATTCACTTCCATTCTCCAAAAACCGGATTCTTGGTAGTTTGATAAAAAGTCTCAAGGCCCGTTATAAATACACTTTTTTATCTAAATTCTATAATTCGAAGCATCAAAATAGCCATCACTATTTTAGCAAAATAATGATTAACTGAAAATAAATAATAATAGTCAATTTAATACCTCCGTTTTATTTATTGTTATCAGTTTTCAGACGACGGCTTTCTCGGAATTTTGTTTGGAATTGTTCTTTTTTTTCCTTATTCATTGTTATTATTTTTATAAAGACTTTCTTAGAATTCTATTAGATTTCTCCCCTTTTATTCTATATTTGGCAGAGGTCTATAATACTACTTCAACATCCCCCCATTAATTTCTTTTATTGGAAGAAGCATTCCACTCATTTAACTGATTTAATACATTTTCTTGTAATGTTTAATGAGATTGAAGATCTTCACTTTTAGAATCGTGTGGCATTTTCACTAAATGAAGCCTATTCAAAGAACATTTCATGACGAACAGTAAGCGTCATTGAATGTTTTTTTTAGGTGAAGTAAAACAACGCTGTGAAAAACAAAAATACGCCGACATATAACGAGCACACTCCACGTGGACTCCATATTTATTCATTAATGTTTTATCCGGATGCACAGGAAACGTAAAATTCAAATGCATTACCCGTAATTTCCAGACTGGCTTGGGGCATATCGATTCGGCCTAGCAATATCAATACTAAATTCCCGATTTTCTTCAAGTTTTTGCAATCTGTTGTACTGAATATAGAAGATCTTTTTAATAAAACCAGTATTTAAAAAAAAAATGCTATATTTTCTTAAAAATATAGTATAAAAAATCTGAAAGGTTTCAGATTTTAAATTACGTCCAAAGGGACGTTTTCTTAACTTGTGCGTTACCTTTTTTTTTATTAAATATCATGTTCTTCTCACTTAAACCATAATTCAGTTCAAGAGCAATATGGGAAATGAATTTTAAAATGAGCACATGTTTAGAATATCTTTAGAATATACACACAGTCTCGTGCGCTGGAGATAAAAATGTTCTTTCTTTGGTACAACGTTCCCATGAGTTTGTTACTCAAAAATTCGTTAAAGTTTGACAAAATATGAAATCGATAATAAAACAAGTTCCAAATTTCAAATTTTTGCCTCCAGTTACGCATATTCGCAAGACGATTACGTTATTCAAAATTGGCTATAGGTACGGTAGTTGTTTTATCACAATGCGAGAAACATGCATACATTCATGCAGATTTTTCATTATTTTATAAGGTATTTCTCTCGCCTTCCTAGCGTGCCTTCGTGGTGTAGTGGTTCTGCACGCTGAGCGGGTATTCCAGAGGTCCGTGGTTCGATTCCCGGCGAAGGCGATTTCTCATTTTTCATCTTGCCCGCTTCCCCCCCCCCCAAAAAAAAATTCTAATGTCTCTAAAAGTTAATTCCTTTAAATATAATACAGGGCGATAATATTCGGTGGCAACAATTTGAAAAGTGAAGCAACGCTCGCAGTGAATCAACGCAAAATGCCAAAACGAAATTAATAGTTTTTATGGGCAAATTGCTTTGTTCGACTAAAAAATTAAGAACAATTAATGAAATTAATTCTGAAGAGTTTCAGCTTTTAACTGTCACCCAGAAGAGTTTGCTAAGGTTTTTTATGCTATCTCTGTGCTAGCAGCCTATCAGTCTGCTGTAATGATCTAATCTTTTTAGCTTTATTATTGAGCATCATTTTCTTGCACTTACGTCATATACAGTTCAACAGCAAAGTAACAAAAATTTTAAAAGCAATATAGCAGTATACGTTAAGAATTACCGATGCAGCGTTAAGTTGTTGGTACACATTTTATCTTTTTTTTTTTTTTTTTTTTTTTTTCAGTCTTCTCTTGGTTTATCAGATGAATGTTTAGTTTTGTTATTAAGCTTGCTTTGCAATTTTTTTTTGGTCTTTTTATTATTAATGTTTTGTGTGTTTACTTTATTTTTTAAATACTACGTTCTTGGCGCTTACGCCACACAAAATTCGACTTAACAGTAAAATTATAAGGCATTTCTCCCGCCTTCTTAGCATGCCTTCGTGGTTTAGTGGTCAGCATGCTAGACGCATATTCGAGAGGTCCGTGGTTCGAATCCCGACGAGGGTATTGATCATTTTTCACATCTCTTGCATGTAAGACCTAATGTCTCTATAGTGGCGCCCGAAGTAAAATGGCAGTGGATAATGATTCTCCACCAACAGGATTTAGAGATTGGGGCCCCTAATCCCCAGTCGCCCTTTAAAAGGACGACTATATAAAGTATTTCTCCCGACTTCTTAGCATGCCTTCGTAGTGTAGTGGTCAGCACACTCGACGCGTAGGTCCGTGGTTCGAGTCCCTCCTAGGGCATTGTTCATTTTTCATCTCTCCTGGTTCGAAATAACCTGTCTCTACAAAATCACAAAATATTTAAAAACAGCATATCTTTAGAACTTCGGAAAAGCAGTCTCGCTTCCTGGGCATCAAAATATTTATTTTTCTTACAGTGTTGCCACTGCTCGCTTTGAACTTCTTGAGACTGTTAATGAAAAATTCGTTAAAGCTTTCCAAAACATGAAAATTGGAAATTCAAAATAGGTAATAAAACAAATTTGAAATTCAAAATTCAGGCTTCCGGGTGCCCAGGTTCGGATGGAGAATTACGCTAATTAAAATGGGTGAGTTCTAGTTACCGTTATTTTTTCGTAATGCGCCAGACATACATCCATTCATGCAGATTCTTCATTATTTAATTTCTTAAAATATAATGCAGGGCTCTAATATTTGGCGGCAACAACTTGAAAAGTGAGTAGTGATCCAACGCAAAATACCGCAACTAATATCCCATTCAGGAATTTTCGGGCTAATGATTTCCGGACGGTATTAAGATCTTCTTTTTGAATGATATGTAATGTTATTGCTGTGCTTTAAATTTCCATAGTGAGGCGACTTTTCTAAGTGTGGTTATTTTCTAAGTGCAATTCACGCGATCAATTACTATACTACAATATTGCTCAAATTTACTCAAAGTAATTGTATTTTATACTTCTGAATTAATCTCATTAGTATAATCGCAATATACTCCGGAACTTGCGCCTAAAAGCAAATGTTGGAATCAACTTTCAAAACAACTCCTATTTTTAGACATCGAGAATCATCTTTTATTTCTGTTTCGCCATTCAAATCACCCACGAAAACATTATCATCAAAAGGGACATTTTAGATTCATTAAGCCGCCATTGACTCTACCTATAGGGTGCCGATCTGATTTGAAAACAGAGTAGCAACTTAACCTTTTTTGTATAGGCGTTTTAAGAAAGTTTTCGAATGAAATTCGAACGTACCACACCTTAGGCATGTGGCAGATCTGCGATATAAAGGAACGGAGGGTAAACATGCTATCCAGACAGTTCTTCAACTACTTGAATTCGAGACATAATTTCTGATGGCTCCTCTGCACTTAACTTTCAAAATGGTAAGTGTTTTTTTTAATTTTGTATTCTAATCCAGATTATGATATTCTACATTAAAAAGACGTATTTGTGAAATTTAGAAGCCCAAAATCGTTTTAGTGTAAAACAGTTTTTATTTCTTTATACGAAGTACAGAAAGTATTGTAATCGCGAAAAATTTCAGGTACTCTGTTTCAAAGGAAATGTCCACTTTGACCGTTCCTGAATCCATTTTGAATATATTTTTGCTTGACAACTATGCGTACGGATAGTATTAAAAGACTATTTTCCAAAACGGATTGTCGAATAGATTTAAAAACGGTGACGTACATACGTACTTCGTATGTATCACGCATAATTTAAAGACGATTAGCCGCAGAACGTTGAAATATTGTATACACAGGGAGGGGGCCAAAAAAGACCTACTAATGTTAAACACGGATAACTCTTGTAATAATCATTTATTTTGATTAAAGTTTTTATAAATTAAATATATTTTATGGAAATTATGTATGAAATATGATATTGTTCATACAAATTATATATGCTATATAATTTGATCATAGGCATATGATATTGTTCATACAAATGTCCATTATTTTTCTCGATACAGAGACTGGCACCTTTTCACGCGTTTTCCTCACCTCACCACGTAATGTTTCTGGTTGAAGGCTCGATATTTCGTCTCGAATATTCTACTTAAGCTGTCTAATAGTCTCTGGTTTATTAACATACACTTTTTCTTTTAAATATCCCCATAAAGAAAAGGATTCTGCCCCGCCATTGGCAGCAAAATGTTTTCAATCATTGTTCTGTAAGAAGCTCCGGAAATCGTTTACGGCATTCCATCATTATTCTCGAAATATGGGCCGATATATATATATATCTATATATATAGATATATATATAATTTATTTACTAAAGAAATATTGATTATTTATATCCTAATATAAATTTTTGAATTAAGAAGCATAGAAGTGAAAGTGTCGGGGGACATTTACTCAAGTATTTTGTAAATTTTAATACATAAATTACTTTTCACTCAAAATTTATAAAGAACCTTGTATTAACGAAAATGCTTCATTCAGAAGGAGTTTTACTTAGGTTCTAAATCCCATCACTTCACGGAACTACGATTTTGGCCTAACTTAATTTGCCAGTTTGGCATCATCACTCTTACTGGAGTAAAAGGCGAAACACCTTCCCAGTTATTAATTATTGTTCATTGAACGGGAGTTGGTTTCTTCCCCTTGAAAAGTCAACTAATTTCCGATAAATAGCGATAATTACTTGTTTTAAATTTTTAATTTCTTTTTCAAATTTTGAAATTTTGTTATTCATTATTTAAATTCGAAGCCACGTGAAACTTTTTTTTCATAATTTACATTCAAGTTAATTTAAAACACAATTTTCGGAATAACTTCCTACATATGGGTTCCCTCTTTTTTGATACTTCTACTAAATTTATATTAGGAGATAATATAATCAATATTTCTTTAGTAAATAAATTATTATTATCTTACTTTGCAGCTATTGCGCAAGTATTAGAAAAACTTGTTTTCGAACTAAGTAAATTTTAGATCATTCAACATTTGATGTATATATATATGTATGATGTGTATATATATATATTAATGTGTATATATATATGTATGTATATGTATATATATATTATGTGTAATATATATATACATGTGTGTATGTATATACATATTATCTTTATCTTTTTCTAATTGTCCTTACCTTTGGCCAGTATTTAGTTAAAGTTTTGATTTAACTATTATAGAACTTCAGTTTTAATAAATTCAATTTATTTCCAAAAAAATTCTTACAATAAACTCATTATCCATTTCTTTAAATTTGCGAATTTTAAATTTTTTTAAACATTACAATTTTTCAAACTTTAAATTAAATTAATTAAATTGAATTCAATTTAAATGTTTATTCGAACTTTTAATTCATTAAAATTTTCGAACTTTACTTCAAAAATTTTTTTCATTCCTTAGCAGTTTGCAATATATATTTTCACAATTCATCTTAAAATTTAGCCATTTTTAAAATAGTTTTGCAATCCTTAACAGTTAGCAACATTTTTTCACACATACCAAACATTTTGCATTTTACATTACTTTAGAGTTTACAACATAAGTTTTTTACAATACATCACACTGGTAGCAGCTTAACACTAAACTTTACACAGTATTTGAAGCCGTCTACTTGCACAGTAAGCAGAAACAAACTACTCAACCTCACTTTGTTTAGCAAATACTACTTCATTCTTCGGCGTACAAAATATGTAGTTACAAGGTAAGTTAAATTAAAACTTACCATTTACTTGCCTTTTTAGTATTATTTTTGCACTATTTTTGCACTATTTTTATAAATTGTATTTAGTTTAGTTTGATTTAATGCATAATTCGTGTCGGGGAAGTTTCCAATAGGAAGGGATTTCTAAATTACTTGGGATTTCTCTTAATTACATTAACAATTTGCTTTTAATTAATAATTTTGTTTCCTAGCCGATCTGTTTATTAAATTTCTTAAAATTAGTTAGGATTTCTCTTAATAACATTAGCAATTTACTTTTAATCAATAATTTTGTTTCCTACTCGATTTTCTTACTAAATTCCTCGAAATTCTTTAATAGTTAAAATTTCTTTTTAAGCAATTCATTACATTTAATTTACTTTTGGTTTTGAATATTACTATATACCCATGCCTGTATGGATAACGAGACACGAATTGAGTGATTGAAGAGTTAGGTTTGGAGGCAACTTCCCCTTGAAAATATCTGTATCTTGCCTGCTCAAAAATTATTCACTTTATGCAAATTAATTTAGTCTTAAAAATTCTTTAAAATATTTAAGATAATTTTTTTGGATTATTAAATATATTTTCATGGTTTTAGGTATTTGCACTTAATTTACATATGCTCTTTGAATTTGAATGATATTTCAAATTAATAATTAATCTTTTATTTATATACAATTAAATTTTCATTATTTTTAATTTTAATTTTAATTTGCTTTAAATTAGCTTTATACGAATGATAGAATATTTGTTAAATTCAAATATATATATATATATATATAACTTATTACTAAGGAAAATATTCATTATATTATCTCTTAATATAAATTTAGTAGAAGTGTCAAAAAAGAGTGAACCCATATGTACGAAGTTTAATTTCGAAAATTGCGTTTTAAAGTAACTTGAATATAAATTATGAAAAAAACGTTTTACGGGGACTTCAAGAAAGAAATGAATTATTGAGCTCCTGGTTTTGCTTAAAAATATGCTATATTTTTTAGAAATCCAGTTTTTTTCGAATTAATTTTTTTTCCAAATATTTATAATTTAAGTATTAGAACAAAATAAGTTAGCTTAAGTTGCTAAACGTATAAGGTATTTCTGAGGGAAATTGCCTGGTATCAACGTTATACGTTATTTCTCCCGAATTCTTAGCGTGCCTTCGTGGTGTGTTGGTCTGCACGCTGGGTGCGTATTCCAGAGGTCCGTGGTTCGATTCCCGGCAAAGGCGTTGCTCATTTTTTCCTGACTCCTGCTTCCAAAATACCTAATGTCTCTACAGTGGCGCCCGAACTAAAAGAGTGGTGGATGATGATTCTCCACACCCAGGATTTGGCAACTGGGTCCCCTAAAAATCCTAGTCACCATTTAAAAGGGGGAGTATATAAGGTATTTCTCTTTCCATCTTAGCATGCCTTCGTAGTGTAGTGGTCAGCACGCAGGGTGCGTATTCCCAGAGGTCCGTGGTTCGATTCCCGGCTAAGGTGTTGCTCATTTTTCATGGATCTTGCTTCCGAAATACCTAATGTCTCTATAAACGTATCTGCGATCAGAGCAAGTTTAAGGTGATTCTACACATAAAAAAATGTGAAGTCTGTCATTTCAAACCCTGTCAAGATTTTTTCCCAAAGATATAATATTCAGAATAAAATTTTTAATTTTTATTTCACGTAATAATAGTAATAATAACAACAAAGAGAAAAAAATATATATATCTGAAAGGTTTCAGATTTTAACGGCCGCCGAAAAGTTTTTGTTAAGGTATTTTACGCTCTTGCTGAGTTCGCAGTCTACCAATCTGCTGTTGCACTCACTCCTCCTAACCCCCTTTTTTTGACTTTCTAGCTTCATTATTAAGCATCATTTTCTTCGCACTTATGCCATATACAATTCAACAACAAAATTACAAGAATTTTAAAAGCAGCATCGTCATAGTGGTATACGGTTAAAACTCCCGATGCAGCGTTAAGTGTTGGCATACATTTTTCTGTTTTTCACAGCCGTTTCTCGGTTTATTATATCAATGTTCAGTTTTCTTACTAAGATATCTTTAAAGAACTTTATTTTCGCCTTTTTATGATTAATGTTTTGTGCTTTTACTTAGTTATTAAATATCACGTTCTTGGCTCTTGCGCCACATAAAATTCTTGTTTTGGCAGTTTTGATAACACTAAAAGAAAATTCTGAACTTGTATTTGAAAACCAAATGTATGAGAAACTTCTATTGTATAACAAAAATCCATGTTGGACAAGATTTACGAAAAATCCGTTCTTAGTGCGCGGTTACATCGTGGAATGAGTAGCTATGCAAAATTTCAAGTCAATCGGGTGTTTAGTTTCGGAGATCTCGTGATGAGTCAGTGGTATATACAGATTAGCATTTGGTTACGTGTAAAGATGAGCTTTTCTAAATTTATACTAACACAATCAAATGTTTATTCACTAATTTTTAACATTAAAAATTGCATTCTATTAAGCAGGTGAATAACATATAATTTAATTGTTTTTTAAATAAATAAAACAAATTGTTTATAAAATGCCATTTTAAATTAATACTTTGAAACTAATGTTGTAATTCAATTTCCTTTTATTTTATTTCTCTATAGTATCAACTAATCTAAATTCATTTTGATCTGTACGAATTTCACTTCGATATTTAGGTATCAGTCAACAATGCTCGTTCAATTGCAACAATATATTACGGTTTATATTA